GCTGTGCAGACCTGCAGGAGAACTGGCCGCACTGCTGGAGCCTCAGAATCCCCTCGGGAAAGCCTGGGCGTGGGCCCTGCACAGGCCCCGAGTGGCACTGAGCGGGTGCCCTCGCGTTCAGCTCAGGGAGCGGCTGTTGCAGCCGCCGTGATTCCTGAGGCTGCTGGAAAGGAAGGAGAGTGGAGCTGAGCCTCGGGGGACTGGCGAGGCCCCGACAGGCGGCGGGCGAGCTGCGCGCACACGCACCGGGCACGTTTAGGCAAAGCGGGCAGACCCACGTGGCTGGAGGGGAGAGTTCAAGTTGGAAGGTGGTGAGAGAGCACCCTGGAATGACGGCTTCGTTCAGCCCACGGCGGCCGGGCTCTGACCCTTGCTCCCCAGGCTGTTTCTTGGCGTTTCCCGTTGAGACTCGCTGCATCAGCGTTGCCCCGGGGTGTTAGAATGCAGACTCCTGGGCCGCACTGCAGATCCGAATGGAGGGCACTGCCCGGGAAGCTGCACTTTCAGCCCTTCCTCGGTGATTCCAGTGCCCAGTCAAGCAAGCGTGGGAATGTTTGCTATGGAAACGGCCAGCGGGAAGGCAGCCAGGGGCGCCCGGGGCAGGAGAATGGCGGGCAGGAGGCGTAATGAAGATTTGAACTCTGATGGCAGGAGCGGAGCATGTGAATGAAGGAGGAGTCTGGAGCATACTGGCGGGTACTGGTGCGGATATGGGCACCAGGACTCCCAGCTTCTGTGACCAGGGAGCCTGGGGTGCCCCCACAGGAACATGTACCGTGGTAGAATTCCCCTGAGCGCCTGAGGACCACTCGGAACCTCTAGCCAGCAGCGAAACTGTTTTACCCCCATTCCCAGTAGAAACGCCCCCACAAGATTTTTCTGGAGTTTTCCAAGGGAGTCTCATGTGACCCCGTCCGAGCCCCTAGAGCCAGTGCTACTCTGTCCCACGCCCCGTGTCAGGATGGCTTCGCTGGCTCCCTTGCTCTCACCCAGACTGTGACCCTGGGCACCTGGGTCTTACCCACCTCCCTGCGGGCCCAGCAGCTCCCTGACCTGGGCAGTGACTGCCCCACCCTCTGGTCTAGGAGAGGCTGCCGCGGCTCTTGGTACTATGGTCCCTGCCGGGCGACAGCCCCCTTTCCCACTGTCCTGCACGTCGCTAGCATCTCCCCAGGTGTCCTGCCAGGCGGGACAGATCTGTGCCCGTGACTGATTCAAGGGCCATAGTGGGTGACACACATGCTCTGCCCGTGTCCCGCCAAGTAGTATCGGAAAGCGCCCCCATGGGTACTGTGGCCTAGGGTTCGAGAAAGAATGGGTTCTTCCCTTTGGAGGGCCCTTTGCCAGCGTGGTTTCAAAGCAGCATTCTCTAGCTCTGTGTTACCTAGATGGAGGCTTCCTTAGGACTCACATGTGAGGTCCAGTGAGGCTGCCAGGAGGCGACCTGAGGGGCAGAGAGGGGACAGGCTGTTTGGGGTGTTGAGCTCAGGGTGCCTGGTTTTGTCCCTTCCCTCAAAATGCATATTTCTTTAAAACGCACAGACAAGATGCCTTAGGTCCTTAGCAGGTGATGTGTCGGTAGGCCCTCCTCACATTTATCATTTCCAGCTACCCGCAGAGGGCACTGCTGGGCTCCCGGGGATCCCCAGTCTCCTGGGAATTCAGAGGCAGGTCCTATTTGCAGAAGGAGAGACTGACTGAATTTTATCTCACTGAGCACTTCACAGAGGCAACCTGTTTACATGACGTGAAATTCAAAGGGCACATCACGGTGGCCTAAGAAAAGCCTCCGTCCCAGCCCTGTGCCCCGCGTGGGGTAGAATGTATCTACTGCCCACCCCCACCGCCTTACACGGAGCGGGCGGTGCGCTGTGTGCGTCTGCTTCCTGAGTGTCCGCAGCTTCCCGCGGGGCTCCCTCGTGCGAGCGCCGCGGGCGGACGGAAGGGGTCCCGCAGGTGGAACGGTGCGTGTTCCCGGCCTCCTGCCGTTACCAGCAAACTGGAGCGCACAGCTTGTAAATGCCCCGTTCCAGACGGGCAGGCGTGGCTCTGGGGTCGGGCCCAGAGTGAGATTGAGGCTCCGAGGTTAGAAGAACTTGTAATTTTTAAAAATATCACCAAATTCCTCCCCAAATAGGTTGTGCCATTTTGCGTTCATATGATTAATAGACAGAGTCCCTTTTCCCCCTTCCTGTTGCATCAACAGAACGTTGTCACACTTCCAGATTATGGTTAATGCATGGTGGGGGGGGGGCAT